TATACATAATCTGGTTCTAACACTATGCTATTTATTCGTACCTTTCATATTCAAAGTTTTGACTCGGTTTCATTAGCCGTTGACCGCAGCACAACAACGTCAATATCGTTAGGTGTCAGTACTTTGTTCAACTACCGCCACTACGATAGCTGTTGGCCGCACGCGATCTTTTGTTAGACAATCGTCCAACAAAAGATTACGTACTTACTGATCGATAAAAGCCAAAAAAACTTATGTTGTTTTATTTTTCTTGAGCAGATTTAATCGATATTATTTCTTTTCTGTAACAAAAATTAAATTATGCCTTCAACTGAGTTACCATCATGCCAATGTACAATAAAAATATACATATAATAACACAAAATATATCGCATTATGAGAACTGAGAGGCTACATAGAAAATGAATAATGTTCCACACCCACTCAAATTTCACTCAATGTCGAGATGATCGCACCAACACGCCGAGTAGATTGAGACGATTCATCTTATTCGTATATAGTACAGAGCAATGTAAATGTAACGAAAGCAGAAGTTCAATCACTTAGTATGCGTATTAATATAATACTGAAATGCAACGTTACCGTACTAGTAGTCGTGCCTATTATTGTTTAATCGAAACAAAATTGTATGGAATGTTTGCATCGCAGACCTTTCTATAGAGTAATCCGTATTGATTGTTAAAAACGATTATAATTATAATGTGATGTTGTTGTAAAAAAACATGCAATACATATAGCACTCAAAACAATAAACAGTGCAGTATAATTAACAAATTGTTTTTTAAAAGTAAAAAAGAGTTGTTATGTATATGTTTTTTTATGTTTAGTAATAGAAAACATTAATAACTAATAAAATAAATATTTGATAAAAGGACAATAAAGACATATCCGTAGATGAAGAATAAACAAATATGAACAACACCGCTAATGTGTCGAGCTATACAATGTCAAGTAAGAAATATGGACAATGCTGTGTAATATTCTTCTGGAATAATACTAGTATTCTTTTATATGTTAGTTGTTCAATGTTTATTAACACAGATTAAGTATGAGAGTACTGTGGCCTTTTGGTTTACTTTCCCGATAACATTAAATTTAAACTAAACATTAATCCGATAGACGGTAGCCAGCTCGCTACCTTGCACGTTGGATTCAAATATTAACACACATGGATATATATGTATTATTAAGTATTGTGGTCATCATAACGTCAACAATTAACGATACTACTGACTACCCTATCTGGAATTATAGCCGTGAAAGTATGTATATTTATTATATTTTGCATGAAAAGATCTTGCTTCTCTCATAACCTTTACCGCATTAACAGATAGTAAAAGAAAGAAGATAAATACCCACCCTCTCGCCTCCAAGTTAGTGAATAACGAAGCTCGGGTGATCGAAAGGCTGTTTCCGAGCTTTGAATACGGACTTTTGCCCTTGTATCTTTAGTGATTGAAAGTGCTCGTGGGGTTTTTCATGAAATGAGACGCTATTTATTTTGTACTTGATGAAAGGGTTGAATTTTCTGTTATCAATTTCGTGATAAAATATATTTTAACCGTTGTTAAACACGAATATTTTATACCTTAACCAGATTAAATTCTTTTTTACAAAAACATGCTTCATTAACAAATAACAAAAGTAAAAAATTTGAGAGAATATTGCTAGAATTTATGCGGTTGATTTCATGTATCGTATTTTCCTTGTTTCCTAATTAATCTATTCAGACGTATAATTTATCTCATTGCTAGGCAACCATTATATTTGTGACCACAGTAAGAAAAACATTCAATTCCCACCAATTTCAGACGTGATTTGATTTTCCAAAAGACTTCCATTAATAAAGAGGACATTTCGACTCAATTCATGGATTAATTGAACGAGGGGATGACCACAGATTTAATCATAATGTACAAGCACAAGTAAGGAGTAGGCTGTTTACTGTTCTTTGATGTTATTGTCTTTATCGCCTTCTTTATAGGAAAGAAAAAGGCGTACTAAACTATATAAATTAATTAATATTTCTACATGCTACTACTATATTTACTACTTGAAATAGTGGGATATATCATAAAAAATACATTATGTAAACTTTATCGGTATTCTATGAAATACGTAATCATTTCTACATACTCATTAATACTATTATCACTATTAAAATATTTTAATTATTCTCTCATTCTACACTTCTATCGACTATTAGATGGATTACATTTATTTACCTAACTATTAAAATAATTTATTTTAACTTATAATTTTTTTTTGCAAATTTATATAAAATATTTATATCAAATGAATGTGCTACGTAACTTAGATATTATAGTACTTACACCTATAGTAAGTTGGTTGTATAAAACTTATGACAATCAATAAGTGTTGTTTTAAAAAACAACTAAACGAACTACAAGTAACAAAATCGTAATGTCAATACAAACGATAAATCACCTAAATCCTCAGTCTTACTTAATTGCACACCTCCAAATCCAATACTGGTATTTTATTGTACAGAAGATTGAAGAAACATGGAAAGATGGATGGGCTCAGGCGGACACGGTAGGCAAAGACTGATGTCGGTCGCCATACTTATAAATAACGAGCTATGGAGAAAAGTATATTACTAAAAGGTACAACCACAGTGACGGCTACGTTCTCGCTTAGCGCTTATCACTTGTGTAAATAGCTGAAATGTTAGAGTTTGCCTTCGTATTTTCTTTCCGGCGTAATTTCCCAAGGCACACCTTCAAGCTGTACTGTTAAAAGTATTTAAAAAATAATTTGTATTATAAAAACAAAGGAGAACTGACTTAATTTTGATTCCCTGCAAGTAAATATTGGGCTTCAAAATTATTTAATTTCTTTGTAAATTAGTCTATGTTCGTAATTGAGCAGAACCATGTATTATTAGATTGGTAAACGGCATAATGAGTACTTTAGCTTAAATTTTATCTGAATAAATAATACTGATAAGTGTATATGTGTAGTATAAGTAATTGTTTTCAAAATAATGTTGTTGATAAAATCTAAGTTTTGTTAAATATTTGTAAAATATAAGAATAAATTATATTAAAAAGAAATAAAATTAAGGATATAATTATTATATAGTATACTGAGGCCGTATTTGATATTATAAAAATTTATACCATAAACATGAAAGTCAAATACAATTGCTCACAAAATACCGTATCCACGTGACTGAACATGTATATTAAAATAGATTAAATATGTAAGATACGTAACGTATTTTAATACTATTTTAAAGAATCAAAATTAAATTGAGAGCTTTGTTTAACAAAATTTGTAGTTATAGTTAAAGAAATATATTTTCACGAAATTACTTGAGGGTAAACATAAGCCGTGAAAATAATTAACGAGAAATATTATGAAATTAATGTATTTTCATTTCGAATATTTATCTATGAAATATATTAAATAAATTACAAAATCACTATATATTTATTTATAATCATGATTAACTACACAATCGCTCTGCTTATGAATATGGTTGAATGCTGAACAAGTTCGACTAAGATAATGATCTCCGGCAAAATTGAGGGAAATCTTGCGGATTACTTTTCCCAATCAACGTGTCGTAATAAATATTTAATGAGCTATTTAAGCTAAATGTTACTCTTAATCGGCCATTTATTTCGTATTGTAATATATTTATTTAAGGGACTGTTAACGCCTCACCGTAATACAATATAAATAATAACTGGTTCCTGATGCGGTGAGGCGGGGAGCGGGGCGCGCGTCGTCTAGTTTTTGTGTTACGTGCATATTGCGATCTCTGTAAAATTGCATCCATCATTTCTTTCCATTACACACCTTCCTACAAAGCGCTGTATTTTTATTTCGCATCGATATCAACTTTAACAATTGGTGACCCCGACGTGATATTCTGGACTCGGTGCAGGCTGACGAAGGTTTTAATATTCAATCAAGCATCTAAATAAACAATTACGACGCGACGAGCTGACGGAGATTTGAAAAATAAGAAATTGCAATAATCAACTACGCAATTACCGGCCTATTGTGTGCATTGAACGAAATTTGTGGTTATCGACGCCATCAAAAGGGAAGTTATGTCCAGTTTGAGTATTTATAATTACATAATTAGTGTTTTAAATTTCAGTACAAGTTAATATTGCCTCAATAGGTACGTACTTAGTTATTTGTATTTAATATCACTACAGTGTAAAACCGAACGCGCTTGCACCATTTTGTTATTATTAACACCCACATATTTTAGCATTAAAAACTACATTTTTTTAGTTTTGTGACTATTTAAGATAAAATTAAGTAACAATCGTGTTATTTGGGTAGAATTGAATATATTTCTAAAATACATATTTATATTTTCAAAAGTTACAATTAAAATTCATTAAAATTATAGTATATCATTACAAAATTGCGAAATATAACTAAAATAGGATATTGCTACGTAATAAGCAATAGGTATATTAGTAAAATAAATAACGATAATCATTTATTGTGTAAATACAATACATAAATATTAATCTACCTTAAAATCAAGCAAATACCTACTCATACAGGCCTTACAATATACAAGATTTGTGTGTAATTGGTTTATTACCTATATATATAGTGTAAATTTTTACTAAAATTAATTTACAATAAATACAAAACATTTCAATACAATTATATAAGCTAGTACTATGGTAAATTCCAGGTTTTTGTAATCGGCGACAATCATTGTATGGGCGCAGTAAGACGAACTACCTGATATTGTTGACAAATTCCCTGCGCCACCTGCCGCGCTGTTGGTTGAGTGCTGACGCGGCCGTTTGACTTCGCTTGCATCATATCTGAGTATTTGCCAGTCCACTCATACTTAGTGACTTACGGTTTGAAATTTACATCTATTTTCTTTTTAATTTAATTTATTATTATTTGGTTTTTTTTTCATTTTGTTTGTGTTTTGCTAACTCTCCAATCGCCCATTTTTTTTTGCAAATCTGCTAAATTTACAATTTATAATGGCAGACGGCAAGGAGTTAAAAGAATATACACAACTACGAAGTAATATAAAAGCTAGAATTACTATATTTCAAAAATATATAGACATTGTAAAACTTGTCGAACCAAAAACTTTAGCAAAGCTACAAATAAACGAGCTTCAGTTAAAATTATCTCGGTTACAGGAATTATTCTCTTCCTTTGACGACATACAAAATAAAATTGAGCTTCTCACGTCTGACAATATATCCCCACAATTAGAGGAACGCGACACTATCGAAAGCTCATTTTGTAAATCAATCGCGATAGCACAGGACATCTTGGAGTCAGCTTGTAAATCCGATAGACCTCCCTCTCAAGGCTCAGATAATTCTATAAAAACTAACAATGAGTACAGCATGTGTAATATTAGACTTCCGACCATCAAGCTACCCTCCTTTGACGGAAATAACCTGAAATGGCTAGAATACAGAGATACCTTCGAATCTCTCATTCACAACAACGATTCCATCCCGAAAATCAATAAATTTCATTACTTGCGTTCGTCACTAGAGGGTAGTGCAAGTATTGTTATTAAGTCCATCAATTTCACCTCTAGCAATTATGATTTAGCATGGAATATTCTTTGTGATAGATTCAATAATAAAATTATATTAATAAACAATCATATTAAATGTTTATTTAGTTTTGATGCATTAGGAAAAGAATCACACAAATCCCTACGTTATATGGTAGATTATTACACAAAAAACTTGAGATCCTTGGAGGAATTAAAAGAACCTGTTCAATTTTGGGATACTTTGGTTATTTATATTATGACTTCGAAGCTGGATCCAGCCACAGGTCGCAAATGGGAGGAGCATCGTAATTCATTGGATCTGTCACCTACGTTAGCTGATTTCTTTGAATTTTTACGTAGTCGAGCTAATATTTTAGAAACCATACAACACGGTCGTACTGATTCAATTAAACTTGAAAAACATAATACTTACAAAGAAAACAAACCTACAAGGTCCTTTGTTACGTCCTCAGTAGCTACAAATAAAAGAAAGTGTGTTGTTTGCAATAGTAATCATTTATTATACGAGTGTGAACAGTTCAAAAATATGTCTATGGATAGCAAAACAACTACAATTAGTAAATACAAACTCTGTAAAAACTGTCTGCGTCCTGGCCATCACCATTCTCGTTGCCGCTTGAGTGCTTGCAAAATCTGTAACAGAAAACACAATTCATTATTACATCGCAATGAAAATACTAACAAAAATAACTTACCTGCGGAATCAACGACTAGTTCTTCCTTCTTGCCACGTGAGTCGCAAGTCTCTCTTTCTGCCTCTGTTTCAGGTCAGGTGTTATTATGCACAGCTGAAATAGAAGTAGTAGACACGATAAATAACAAAACTCACCTAGTGAAGGCTCTCCTCGACAGCGGTAGTCAGTCTTCCTTCGTATCTGAAAAAATAAAAAACAAAATTAATATTCTCTGTAGAAAAACTAATATACCGATTTTAGGCGTGAACAACTGCATAACTAACTCAGTTGAATGTTGTAACTTGCTTCTGAAATCTTGCGTAAATTCATTTCAAGTAAAAGTAGACTGTTTAGTAATCCCACATATTACAAATAAATTGCCTAGTGTATTAGTAGATGTTGCTAAACTAAATATGCCATCCAATATACAATTAGCTGACACAAAATTTTTCTGTCCATCTGAAATCGACCTCTTATTAGGAGCAGACATTTATTGGGACTTAATTATGCCAAATCAAATTAAGTTGGGTAAAAATAATCCTACTTTACAGGAGTCGAAATTTGGTTGGCTTGTTGCTGGCCCCACTGGTGGTAATCCATACTCTTCAACTCCAAAAGTTCATTGCCATTTTACAAAAGAAATAAAAGAATCTTTAGCTAAATTCTGGGAAGTAGAAGAATTACAATCTAATACAAAAATATTATCGAAGGAAGAAGAATATTGTGAAAACCACTTTATACAATATACTAAACGTTTGCCTTCAGGTAGGTTCTCGGTTACAATTCCTTTTCGCGAGCCACCCGAAAACGTTTTAGGTGAATCACACAGTATAGCTAGAAAGCGCTTTTACAATTTAGAAAAAAGATTGGCAAGAAATGGTCACAAAATAGACTATTCCAACTTCATACAGGAATATGAGAGTTTGGGACACTTGTCACAGATAGAACGACCTAAGTTCGGATATTTTATTCCACATCACGCGGTTATACGTGAAAACAGTGAGACAACCCGACTTAGAGTAGTATTTAATGCATCGTTTAAAACAGATACAGGTAAATCGCTAAACGATTTAATGATGATAGGTCCAGTTGTGCAAGACGACTTACTGTCTATTTTATTGCGATTTAGATACAATAAATATGTCGTTACGGCAGATATTACAAAAATGTATCGTCAAATTGAAATTGACCATTCGCAGCGACATTTACAATTAATTTTGTGGAGAGATAATGATCGAATTCCTTTAAAAACTTTACAACTTAATACTGTAACATATGGAACAGCCGCTGCGTCATTTCTCAGTACCAGATGCTTACTTCAGCTAGCTGAAGAATGCACTGACCCAGTTGTTGCCGACGTTATAAAACATGATTTTTATGTCGACGATTTGATTACGGGAAGCTCATCAAAATCAATATTAGCTAAATCGGTGCAGGCAGTAGTGCAAAAATTAAATGAGGGCTGTTTCTCATTACACAAATTTCGGTCCAATGTCCCTGATTTATTAAAAGAAATTACTCCAATTGATCAAACACAGGATTTTTGTAAGGAAAGTTCCATACTAGGATTAAAATGGCAACCAAGTACCGACAAATTAAAATTTTATACACAGTTAAATATTGATACAAATGTAACTAAACGAACTATTTTATCTACATCATGTAAGGTTTTTGATCCCTTAGGTCTACTTTCTGCATGTACAATAATACCTAAAATACTTTTACAAAAGTTATGGCTTTCGAAATTGGAGTGGGATGAACCTGTTCCAGACGTAATAAAAGAAAAATGGTTAGAATTTTCTCACAATTTGTCAACATTTTATGATTTTGAAATACCAAGATACGTAATGTGCGAACAGCCCACAAACATTACACTTCATTGTTTTACTGACGCGTCACAAACATCATACGGTGCTTGCATATATTTAAAGTCACACAATAATACAACTGGCATTACTGATATCAAATTACTTTGCGCTAAGGCTAAAGTAGCTCCAATTAAACCCGAACTTACTATCCCTCGGCTTGAACTACTAGGAGCTCTTCTAGGCGCACGTTTATATTCTAAAGTTATAAGTTCTCTGAAAGCAAAAATATCTAAGTCATTTTTTTGGTGTGACTCCACTATTGTTTTGATTTGGCTAAAATCGCCACCTAAAACACTAAAAACATACGTCTATAATCGTATCGAAGAGATAAGAAAACTTACTGATCAAAATGCATGGAGGCATGTACCTACCCATTTAAATCCCGCCGATTTAGCTTCTAGAGGAGTCTCGCCACAGCAGTTTATTACATCTTCGTTGTGGTGGGAGGGTCCTTCATTCTTGTATGAACCTGAAACAAATTGGCCAGTAGATAGTACAAATAATCTCACGTCGGTACCTGAAACAAAAAGAATTTTATTAGTACAAAATAAAGAAATTATCGAAAATATAATACCGTTTAATAAATTTTCAAAGTTATACAAATTACAGAGAGTTGTTGCATATATTCATAGATTTTTATACAATTGTAAAAATATTGAAAATAAGTTGACAGGGGTACTAACTAATAAAGAAGTATATGAATCTTTACTTACCATTGCCAAACACTCTCAAAAGGATTCCTTTTTTAATGAAATAAATATTCTTTCTAAAGACAAAACACTTTCAAAAACGTCCAACATTATTTCGTTAAATCCTTTTATGGATTCTTCCGGCATTTTACGTGTCGGTGGACGGATACAAAATGCGTTACAATGTACCTACGGAAAAAGACACCCCATATTAATTGACCCTCATCATCAATTTACAAAGTTACTTTTTGAAAGGGAACATCTTCGATTGCTTCATTGCGGTCCTCAACTTTTATTAAGCTCGATCCGCGAACAATTTTGGCCGTTAGGCGGACGAAAATTAGCTACAAAGACAGTAAATATACTATATATATAATACTTGTAAACGCTTCAAGGCACAATCCTTACAGCCTCTCATGGGAAGTTTACCAAGCTCACGAGTTACTCCAGCGCTCCCATTTGAAACCTGTGGTACAGATTTTGCAGGGCCATTTTATATATTGAACCGCAAGGGTAGAGGCGCAAAAACTACGAAGGGATACTTGTGTATATTTGTATGCTTCGCCACTAAAGCTTTGCATTTAGAAGTTGTTACCGACTTAAGCACTCAGGCATTTTTACTTTGTTTGCGGCGATTCATATCACGTCGCGGAAAACCACATACAATATACTGCGACAATGGTAAAAATTTTGTAGGAGCGAATGGAGAGTTAGTTAGACTTTTAGCAAGGGCAAATAATGATGTAAGCGAATTCTCATGTAAAGAAGGCATTAATTTCAAATTTTCACCGCCTTACTCGCCTAACTTTGGGGGTATATGGGAGTCCAGCTTAAAAATGGCAAAATTTCACCTAAAGCGTGTAATAGGCAATGCAAATTTAACCTTTGAGGAAATTACTACCGTTTTCGCACAAATTGAGGCAATATTAAATTCTCGTCCGTTGACTGCACTATCATCGGACCCATCAGATTTATCTCCTTTAACTCCTGGGCATTTTCTAATTGGTCGTCCGTTGACTTCATTACCTTCACCAGTTATAGAAAGGAACAATGTCGACAACACTTCTGGCAAAGATGGTCCAAGGAATTCCTGTCTGAATTACAAGAACGAGTGAAATGGCGTACAAAATGTCAAGAAATAAAACCAGATGACTTGGTTATAATTAAAGATGAACAACTTCCACCTATGAAATGGCTGCTTGGTCGTGTTGTAAAACTCTATCCTGGATCAGATGGCATCACGAGAGTGATTGATGTAATCACAAAAAAGGGCATCCTGAGAAGAGCCGTTTCTAAAGTATGTTGCCTGGAAGAATCAAGATGCGACACTTGAGTCCTTGAAAGACCAGCTTTCAAGGGGGCCCAGTATGTTAACGCCTCACCGTAATACAATATAAATAATAACTGGTTCCTGATGCGGTGAGGCGGGGAGCGGGGCGCGCGTCGTCTAGTTTTTATGTTACGTGCATATTGCGATCTCTGTAAAATTGCATCCATCATTTCATTCCATTACACACCTTCCTACAAAGCGCTGTATTTTTATTTCGCATCGATATCAACTTTAACAGGGACGGTCTATCTTTGTTACGAAGTAATAATAATATCTCAGGACAATACATATAGCGCTATCTGGTTCCAAGCTAAACAGAGCTTGTGTTATGGGTACTAGACAATTGACACAAATACATAGATACATTATTTTCTGTATATGTATATGTCTATGTATACATAATATACATAGCAAATACTCAGGCAGGCACAAACAGTTATACTCATGAATATAAATGTATCTATCTATATTAACGTCTTCACGATCCTTATGAACTAACTATACCTCTTTAGTACATTTAATATCAATATCAGTTCACCCGTGTAACCCTGACGGGTTCGGATTGAGTCAGCTTGATACTAAATACTACTACTATTTTAATAATATTAATACTTATTAGTAAATGATAATGTTCTCTACCCACACACATAATAGTTCGGATTAGATAGATGCAAGTACGGAGCGAGACCGATTCAACTAACCTATCTGTAACAGATCTTTTACTACCCAATGTCGAAGTCAAGAGCCTCCGAAATTTTGTGAAAACCCTTCAAACACTTCATAAATATATATGAACGTTTGAATTGACATACTTAGCAGTGATTCTTGACCTAACTCACAAAGATATATGTAAGTTAAATAGATGTAAGTTACCTATATAAAATTTTGACCAAATTTCTTCCAGTATTGCAAAGGACTTCGAAATATAATATTTAAATATTGACTAAGTAAATGAAAATATCTTTAAAATTTTAATTCTCTATTTTAAGGCACAAAAGAAACTTAGTTTCTAAGTACAACAAAACTTTTGTAATTGCATTTCATGCTCCTAATTATATTTTCAACTTTCCGACACAAACAAACATTGAACGACTTATACACTAACTCTTAGCAACATGAAGTAAATTACAAACCTTTAAGTTCATTAACTTGTATAGGGCTTCCATATCATAACATCATAAATAAGGGTTGCTTAACCCTTTGAAGGTCCCAAATGTACACAGCGTAAACAAGAAAATTCTCATTTGTTTATTGAGATCCAAAAATATTATTTATATACTTAAATGTAATTATCCTTTCCTTTGTTTAAAGGTTTCTTGTCTGGACATAAAGTATCTACACATTTAATCTAAAAGAGTTTACAATTTACTGTAAATTGGAAACCCTATGAAGCAGACTTTCAAGGCGAGAAACCTTCTAAATATTGACTATTACATGACTATGAAGTGTTCTAAAGTACTGTTACTTCTCATAACTTTTTTTTTGTTATTCAAATTTAAAATAAATTACAGTTTAAATCTGTATTATAATTGCTATATTTTATTTCATATTAAACTTCATTGACTTAAAAATCTTGGAGATAGTGTGTATGCTCTCTCATACTCTTTTTCTATAATGTTTGATGTATTGAAACTAGCATTGTGTATTATTACACTAATACCAATTTGTTGAGATTAACTACAGAGTAAATTTTAGTTAAAGCTGGTATTAATGCGATCTCATTTAATATTACCGTGGAATGTTGAATGCTATCTGTTCAGGTCTTTTCATTTACAGATCTATAAGGATTTAATCTAAAGAGTAAACATTATAAATAAATTTAAATCCTGAAATCGTGAGATGGAAGTTCGTATTTGTATCAACTAACGAGTAATATTAGTAGTATCAGACAATCACACACACCTGTCTCATCTATTTTTGTAAAAAAGCAGTCAGAAAAGAAATTATTATATTAAGTTTAATAAAAATGTTTACTGCACTTGTTAATTCCAGAAAAGGTCAAAATAAATTATGGAACATTTAGGAGTAAATTTTGTGATTAAATTTTTTATTGGATTCGTTGGATTTAAATTAATATAAGTATCGTGTAAAATATTAAACCTCAACATGTATACGTACAGATATTGTCATTAATACCTACCAATATTATGTGCATAATGAGAATATTCGTATTCATTTGAGAATTTGATCAAAATTATCTGTACAATGTATTAATTTCTTTCCATTTCATTTGATCTGTCAGCCTCATTGTGAAAATATTGAATTGATTCGTATTTACAAAATTAAACCACGGAATTTTTCAATTCCGGTACAATTAACTTTGTATAACTGTGTTTATTTGTGTGTATAATTAATTCATATTATCTATAGTGTTAATGTTTTTTTAATTATTTATAATACTACTTAACTAACTTATTATAATAAATTAATGTACCTACTATAACATTGAAATCTTTTAACATGAAGTCATAACAAACACATCGCATGATAATTCAGGGCTAATTAAGTCTTGAGATGCTGTTACAAGGACCAAGTAAGTGGAAGGTGGTAATTACAGCTCCTTGCTCTGTTTCATTAAAATTTCACCTTCGCCGTCGACTAACGACTCATTAACGCAACTCTTTGATGCATGCTAATTGTATTTTCTTCCTGAAGTAGCTTTTAATTAAAATGATGAAATCGATTATTTTCATGTTATGCGTTCAGTAATGTAAATGATAACAATAGTTTCTAAAAATAAAAATAAGTATAATACTTATAATAAACTAAGCATTATGACCATTTTATTTTTATCTTCTATAAAACAATTGTGTTATAAAATATTTCAAAGTACAATACCAAAGGGAATCGTTCATCTCACGCCCGAGTAGTAACAAAGAAATTTGTTATTTCCAAGAAAAAAATTCATTGGTGAAATCTGAGCCGTCAACGCTTACCTGTTATCTCCGAAGGGTCGGCATCCATCATTCGTATTAAATATTAATTTAACCTTTTTCTCAGAGCTGTCACGCAATTAACCCGAAAAGGCCCCTTGAAATTAATAACGGCTTTTAAACGTTAACCAAAATTTAAACGATAATTTCTAAGCGTTCACCTGACTCAAAGAAGGCTAATTGCCCTTTTCCAACAAATTAATAATCAAGACTGAAAGAATCGACGCAAAATTCTTTGAAGATCCACAAATTTGTTATCCTTTAAAGAAAAAATTCCAATATAAACTAATAGGATTTAGACTACAAAATTCTTCAAGAAGATATCAAGTATACGTACATACTATTTATACGTCAGTTAATATTTCAAAATTCAATGAATAAATAAGAAATCGAATTATAATGCGTAATGTTACCTTGTTGTCTAATGTGCAGAACTTTTTATACTTTTTCACTCTATTTCTGCAACTTTGTTAGCTACAGTTTCTATTACTGGATTCAATTAATTATATAGTCATTCCATCTTTTATAAAGTTAATAAAAAATACAATTATTATCTTTAGCTTACGGTTATCATGTACATCAATCTAATATTTGTTGTATAGACAATATTTGTATATTATCTTACCTTTCTGTAATATATTTTTGATAATATGCACAAAGCTATATTAAAACAATCATTCATCTTAATAAAACTTCAGCAAGCAACAGGGACCAAACTTTTTCTATTTCGTTGGCTCTCTTCATTATTCGAAACGGGCCTAAAATTTTCCAAACTTTTACTTTAGCGCCAATATAATAAGGACCGTGTGAGCCACTCACCTTTAAAAACTCGTCGAATTTTAGCAACATTAACAGTTCGTGCGCCATTAATTCGGAACAGAGGTTAACTTAGTTCGAGAGAGAAAATTACATCAGTCTTAGTTTTGGGAACACGAAAATGTTGGCAGAATTCTTTAAGAGGCGCACTCTGCTGGTTTTACGAATCGCGGAAATCGAGTAGGTATTCGGATAATTTCTCTCCGTGGCAGTTCGATCGGCCTAATTCGAGGAGATCTCATTCGGTTAATGGGTGTAATGTTTCACCTGGTTGCGTTTCCGGCTGAAATTTGTCTGGGGATACGCGGAGCTCGTTATGTCCAAGGTTAAGGGACGCTGTGATAGAAACATTTTTATATTGAACTTTTCAGAACGGATGTATTGTGTCCTTATACAATGCCATTACATTTTTCTACTTAATCGTCAGGTTGGTCACAAAAAACTAAAAATTTATTTATTTATTTATTTACGTCATACTAAGTGAGCTTTACAGTCTCCCAATATGCCCACTTAGGAAGATAAAATACAAATACATCCAATTATAAACAGTAATTACATACATATACACTAATTATACAAGGAAACAAAAGAGAAAAAAAAAATACCTAACCTTAATTTAACATACTACCTAAATAATCTACTGCCATCCTACGATTCTCCAGCAAATTACAAGTAAATATGTCTAGATCTGGAAAGCGACTAACTACATCGTTGAGTAGACTCAATGCTAGAGAAGTACAAACCTGTTTGGCCAGCTCTGTTCTTCTCCATGGAACATCAAACAAGTTTCGTCTTCTTGCTTGTACGCTTGTTGGACGCTCTTATGGACACTGATGTTAATACCGCTTACCTTTTTCACCTCTCATGACTTTGACTACATATTCCATTAATGCAATCTTTTGTCTTACTTCAAGTCTTCCGTCAGGTGTGTCATATCATAATAGTAAAAATATTTTGTATTGTCAATATATGAAATATCTATTACTGTTTTATTACTATTGAATATGTCTGAATGAATAATCATTATTATAATATT